CTTCTGCCTCCATCACTCCACCCTATCTTCCTGTCCCCCCCACCCCACCCCCTGGCTATCCTTACTGTAAAGCCCTGGCTGGCCTGGAATTTGATTTGTAGACCAGGTTAGCTTCCCCTACATTCTGAGTACTGGGATTAGAGGTGTGTGCAGGTCAGAGAACCTTCAGGATAGGTTTTTTGCCTCCCTTCCACCTTGTTGGGGTTTCTGCTGCTGGGCTGCAGACTTCAGGCTAGCTGGCTGAGAACTTCTGGGAAGTCAGGAGTGCCAGGGCTACACAGCTTCTGGTGGGCTCAGGGGACTGACCTCAGCTTGTCAGGCTCATGTGGCACTGACCCTTTCCACAGTATTTTTTGAGTCAAGGTCTCTCACCAAATCTGGTATCGTTATGTCTGAGCATGGGACGGTACTTCCCCAGGGCCATTGGCTAAAATGCTGTTTCTGGGGCTTCATGACCCTGCCTCAGGGGAATAGGCCTCATGTGACTGGGACCTAGTATCTGAAGAGCAGGCTAACCCAGTCCTCCAAGTCTGTTTCAGGGCACCCCACTTGTCACTCATGTGAAAGTGCCTTTTGCATTGATTTCCTTGGTTTGGACACGCAGGTCTCTGGAGGGTAACCCCGTGGTACCAAACAAGGTTATTGGTCCCAGTACCATATAGTTCTGCCTCTGGAATGCACCTGTAGCCCACAGCAGTAGGAAGGAGGGAGCCGGCCCTGCTCCTATGGTCCCACTGGCACAGGTGGGAAGGCCTTGCAGAACTGCGCAAGTCTGGGGTGACTAGTGAGTGGGGGTGTCTGCAGAAAGAGCAGCTCTAGCCAAGGAGCTTATTTTGGAGCAGACAGCTATTCTGGGAGCTCCTCCAGGGCCTGTAGATTTTCCATGAAGTAATGGGCTAGGCCTCCCAGTCCCTGGGTCCTCACGCTGCTGCTGGCCACTGCAATGGTAGAATAAGGGCCCCATTCACTGGCTCCTGAGGCGCAGTATACTAACTGTGCACAAATATATCTGACTGGGACCGGCTGGGACTGGGGGGGACAGGGAGGGAGGGACACCAGCCACTTGGAAACCCTTAGAGGGAGTGTGTTCTGAGCAGGAGGGATGGGGCAGGCAGAACAACAGGCTCACTGTACAGCGCTCCCCACATGCAGGAGGAGCCTGGAGAGTTACACCAAATGGCAGGCAGGGGAGAGGGACCCCTAGAGCCTGAGGACTCAGGACAAGCAGCCAGAGTCTGTCCCGTGCTGGAGAACCTAGGTCCCTTATGCTTCTTTCTCATTGGTGTTGAGAGAGTAT